AAAAATTTTTAGGGGATAAAAATATACCTATATCTACCGTTTAAATACTAAAATACGTTTAACAATGCTATGTTTAAGTGGTCTTGAACTGTGTTCTCGTTGGGTGCCCCTGATAAAGCGCCTGTTATGCAGGCTAAAATTTGGGGGGTAAACAACAAGCATTATACGCAATGAAAATGATGAATCAGTAGAAATCCGGATTCCACCTGCATTCACCGTCTAACCGAATCCTTTTCCAGAGCGACTAGCACAAGGTCTTTGAGAAACAAATAGCGGCAAAGGTGATGTTACCCGAGACGATTCCCAACGACGATTTTTAGCGCAACACAGCGTAGCAAGATTGTTGAGCCATTGTTTCGAGTGGACACAACATTAATGTTCCAATATCGCAACGCTGTGTTGCGCTAAAAATCGTCATTGCGAATCGTCCCGTGTAACAACTGTTCTGTCGTGAATTGTAATACCTGTTGTAAATTGCAATAACAGTTGTCGAGAATTGTAATAACCAAGCGATCGTAAATTGTAATGACACGTCGTCGTAATTTGTAATAAGCCTAGCTGTCGTGAATTGTAATAACAATCAATCAATCAATCAATCATTTTGTCCGTGTGTCTTCTAGTCTTGCTGCCTTCAAAATTGCACTAAAAAATGTTCAACTGGATAATGAATGCTGTTCTTTTTGTGACCAATGTTAAATTCTGAAATTACCTGTACATAAATGTATATTTTTATCTATGATAATTAATTTTTATGTATCTATTTACTTCACCTATTGACGTACTTTAATTATTTTATAGATTTATTTTCGGAGATGTTAGTAATTTTTCTATCAACAAATTCGAAGTTAAATAAAGTCTTTGATTGATTGATTGATTGATGACAATTTTCGACAGCGTGTTAATACAATTTACGTTAGCTTGTGTTATTACAATTCTCGACAATACAAAGTATTGTTATTGCAATTTGCGACAGGTATTACAACTTACGACGACTGTTATTACAATTTACGACAGGTCACGTTACAATACATCACATTTAGGGAGCTTAAGCATCAACGACGGCGATGGCCACGAAAACGTCACTTAAAAAGTGGATTCGCGCTGCCTCAAACTCTATAGCGCTTACTCCATCTCCAAAAATTTGGCAAATGTTCGTTGGCCAATTTTTGTGGCGTTGAATTCGAAAGGACTGTACTAAAGTTTAGGAAAAGTACAAGAAAGTTGTTTTTTTGTGTGTTCCCATCCTCGACAAAAGGTGAAATTATGCATTTCCACGATGTAGTCGTGCAACGACGGCTTAGAAAAGTACAAAAACGCGTGATGCAAGTCCAAAGTTGTTTTTTTTTTACACTTTAAACCAATTGTTTTTTTTCCCGTTCTCGTTGCTCCCTTTTAAGCAACAAAAACGGCGACTGCTACGAAAACGTCAATTAAAAAGTGAAGTCGCGCTGTTTCAAACTTAATCGCGATTATTCCATCTCGTTCAATTTGTCAAATGTTTGGCATTTTTTTTTTCTGGAGATGAATTCTAACAGGCTGTATCGATTGTTTTGCCAATCTAAACCTACTGTTTCTTTGCCGTCGTCGTTCCTTAAGCTCCCAGGGAACCACATCACACAGAATATAACTCTGGTTGTTTACCATTTACAAAAAGTTTCCAGAAATTCGGTTGGAAACTAAATGGAACACACCTTTTTGGGTCGTTCCAGCGGAAAATTTCCGGAAGTAACGGAACATCTGAAAACACACTAGTACTGTGAAAAGGTAGTCAAGTTTTTCCGGACGGAATGTTCCCAACGGAGATTCGTGGTTCCGTTTCTTCAAAGCCATATTTGTACCAGTCCCAGGCCTAAGCGGCCGTTTTTCGGTAAACGGAACTGATTTGTGCATGTGGTAATCGCAATTCCCGGACGAAATTTACCAGTCCTGAATTATGCATAACATTTGTCCCAAACCGGGAACCAACCGGTTTGCCCATGTAAATGACAAACAACCAACATTTCTAGGTTGAGGTTTCCTTAACGTCATCTTAAAGAAACTGGCATGAAGTAGTTGACGCGAGAACTTGTACCCCGGAAGTGTGGCTGTGCCATGTGCCACAAGAATTCCGCGTGGCGTCACAATGCCATTTCCAGAAGCTTCTTGTCGTTAATAGTCACGTTCTCTACTGAAGAATATACCTTACTGTTAGAATTCAACTTTTCTAGAAAATTTTATGAGTTACTGGTACTATATATATATATGTACAGATACCGTATAGATTGATGTTACGCTGTCAGCCTAGCAATTAAGTACTATGTTATTTTTACATTAGTATATACAATTCCAAGTATTAAAAAAGTGACGAAATTTCTCGAATTTATTTCCTTTAGTATTTCCTTGTCACTAGCAGAAAAGAGGAGAACCGGCTATGTATAGATAAGACATGTACTCAACAGGAAACCAAATGGCAATACAGTTCGAGTTCGTGAGTAATGATACTAGGGACCTCAAGATCCAAAGACGCGACGGCAACGAGAACGTTGCTTGAAAAGTGAATCAACGTTCTTTCAGTCTTTAAAACGACTCTCCGAGTTACTTTGTCAAATCTTGACGAACCCTCCTGAAGTTGAATTCCAAGGGACCATATCGAAGTTCAGAGAGAGAAATAAAGTTTCGTCATTGCTTCTTTACGTTCTCCGTTAAACGTGAAATGAGGCATTTTCATGTCGTAGTAATGCAAAAGCGGCAAAGAAATGTGAAAGACGTGATGCATGTTCGAAATTGCTGTTTTGCTTATTAAGCCCACTGTTTTTTTTTTTTGTCGTTTTCGTTGCCGTCGCGTTGTTGCCGATCTTAACACGAGACGATTCGAAACGACGATTTCAAGCGCAGCACTTCGATTCGTCGCAATGTTGGAACAATGTTGCAACCATTCAAAACGATGTTGCAACAGTGTTGTAATGCTATGTTGCACTAAAAATCGTCGTTGCGAATCGTCCCGAGTAACATCACCTTTAAGTCCCTAAGAGAAAATGGGAAACCCATCCACGCCCACCCGAACGTACGGGACTGACAGAGAGGTACTAAGCAGACTCTGGGGGGATGGGGGTGGGGAATCCAAGACAGGTAGGTGGCGTTTGCCTTTGCGAAGCGTTAGCCAGTTCACCTAGCGGAAGCCAATGGAGTTTTGCTAATGTTAGAAAAGAGATTGAAATTCCGTTTGTTTGACTGACGACAAAAAAAAACTTTGAACAGTTGAATCAAGACCACATTGGAGGGAGCACAAGACCAAATAACGTGTTTCCGTATTTTGCAAACTCGACTGAAACGTGAAGTTGCTTAAATCCGTCTCGTTTCCGCCCTGCGAAAGCATGGTGAGCTAGTTTTCCATGGACAACACGCGTTTCCGTTATGTTTCCGAGTCGGAAACGAACGATCATGTTTCCGCCACATTTCTGTTATCACATTTCCGTTCTTTGTTGGTTCCGTTACATTTCCGGCGACGTTTTTTTAAACCCATGTCCAAGCTGGATCGCGTGATAAATGTTTCAGAAATTTTGCCTTTGCGTACAATCAAAGGTAAATCTGCTCTCGAGATCGGGCCATTAAACGGTTCTCATGCATTAAATACTCGCGCGCGTTGCATTGATGCAGCGACTGTGAAGTGCGCGAGGTTGCCACTGTTTTCGATTCTAAGTGATTACTGCGCTTTTCACAAACATGCGAACTCTTAAGTTCAAAAGCCGCCTTCCTAGTTGCGTTTTTCGCTGCCGTCAATCATAATTACGATCACAAGCAACGAACCTTGAAACACAGAAACACACAAAACGGATCGAAATCCACCAATCACAAATCACAAACCATGACCTTTTGAACCCGTTAAAGTAAAGTTTTGTTTCCTAAGAGGTCAGCTAAGATGATTGACGTTAGCAAAAAACACAATTGTCAGTTGGCTTTTGAACTTCAGAATTCGCATGTTTGTGAAAAGCGCAGTAACATGGCAGACAATACCAACAGCTGTCTTCGTTTTTGGGTCTTAGGTCTTGGGTCTTCGTTTTCTGCCCACCCCAAGTATTTCTTTATCACCGTTATCATTGTAAACAAGCTTGCACCCAAATTGCACGATGGAGAAAAACCATACAAAAACAGCAAACATTCAGCCTACCATAGCAAGCGAACCCATCGGTCATATTCTTCCTTGTTCTTCTCTGGATTTGGAAACAGAAAGAACTGGCAAGTATGCGATTCCGAATGATGGTTACATTCCGGAGCAAAGCAATGCATGTTGGTGACCTTTGTGGCCTTTCACTGTGGGGATCGACCACCTACTGACACATAAATTTCTCCATAAAATCGCACGTACAGCTTCAAACGTTTGCATCGAGCACAACAGTGGATTCCATAAACCATTATTGTTTTCATTCTTTGGAATAGAAAGTCCTATATGTCGAGAATATTTAGTGAACACAGCGGCGAATCTAGGGGGAGGGTGCAGGGGGTGCACCCCCCCCCGGCGAGATGGCCGGCGGTTTTCTAATACAACTGGAATTCTGCCCAAAAAAAAACTATGTGGTTTATTGGTGTTGAAGTAGAGCAAGAGACGAGTGTACACCCTCCTAAAAAAAATCCTGGATCCGCCCCTAGAACGATACGAAACCGCGATTAACAATGGCGTCCGTATTGCAGCCAGGTTTTGTCTAGACCCAGAAAAATGGTTGTCATGACAGCGTGACGTCACACTTTAGTACGCTAAAGCCACTAAGGGCCTGTTTACATGGAGTGGGAGACCCCGGTCTAGTGGGGTAAGTTTCTTTTGTGCTCACGCTCTGGGGGAAACAGGGTCTAAATTAGCGATCACTATTTCATAACTTACATTACGTCAAGAATGCACCGTACATACGTAATTTAGTGAATTTCAACGGATAGGAAAAATATGTACTGGACACAGGCAGGGGTAGAACCCGTAGACTGTCGTATTTTGCAGAGGTGACTTGCAGAATTACAACTTCCATCAAGTTATGCCTTTGTCTCACGCTGCGGAAATAATCCTGTGCATTCTTTTTGCCATTATATTCATCGCTAACATTGCAGGAAATGTATTCGTATGTGCGATCGTGCTTAAAACTAAGAAGCTGCAGAACTTTACTAATATTCTGGTAGTCAACATGGCTGTTGGAGATGTCATCGTTGGAGTGATCGGTGTGATGCATATAATTCTGGAAGTTTTGGTTCTCATCAGTTTAGGAAATGAATTCACTCTTCTTTGCGGAGTCTTGAATGGAATCGTGTTGTTTAGTGCGTCAATTTCCATCTACACCATGGCTGTGTTGGCTTACGATCGATACCTAAGCGTCGTTAAACCGATGGAAAGGCGTACACGACTTACAAAAGGTAAACTCAAATACATTTTTGCAGTCATATGGGTTTTCTCGTTTGCCATTCTCGTTCCAAGTTTGTTTTTTATCCATAACTACGAGTTTAAAACAGATCAGACAGAACAACTTATCTGTTGGAATACGCTACCGCAGAGAGAATTTCCTCTTGCCCACAGGATAACTCTTTTCACGCTAATGTATTTCATACCGATGTTTATAACTCTATATTTTTTTGGAAAAATCTTCATTCATCTTTGGATGCGTAAACACGACGAAAAGAGTCCTTCAACAAACCAAGTGCTTCTACAATCGCGACAGCGAGTCACAAAAATCCTTGGCAGTGTTATTTTGCTGTTCAATATATGTTGGCTTCCATGGTTTGTTTTCTGTTCATTTGGGGTACTCGAGCATTCTCAAGTACTGGAATCAGGCCTGGCGCTTTTGGCTGTTAGTCATTCTACTGTGAACCCTTTCGTGTACTCGTTTCAAAGTAGTAATTTCCGACGGCACATTCGAAGAATTACGAAAAGGAAACACTGGGTGAACAATGAGAAAGAACTCAGAAACTTAGCAGCGAAAAACTCAGCGGAAACAAATCAATAAGGCATTTGACACGCATCTCTGATATTACTTAGCTTATTTACTGGAATAAACTTCGTATTGCGCCTTTTTGAAACATTTTATCCCGAGGAAAGACCGCCGTACTCGCAGACTGACCTTAAAAAAGCGTAAAATGGACTTTTTTTGTTTAACTTTTATTAAAACTTATCGACACTTTAGGTACCTTTGCTTTCTATTTTGAATTCACCATTTTCACATTGCCCATACAAAGCGTTGTTAACACCACCAAAATTTTGCATAACAGTCGTCCCAAGAGAAATAGGAGACAATGTTTACACGGTGTTTATGCAAAAATTCGGGTGGCCTGCATAACAGACGCTTTATATGAGCCAAGCTAGGCGAACGCTGCATTTTGCGCAAAGCGCGAGACGAGGAGAGGAGAAAAACATAAAGCGCCTGCCTTTCGTTTATTTCCAAATGTTCCAGGAATAAAAGAAAAATAAAAGAAATGTTTAAATTTATTGCTTAAGAGGAAAGATGTTCTTGGATTGCTTCCAACTAGGTTAGAAAAAAGCGTGACTCATAAGCTCGTGACCTTGGAATTTGTTTCAACGACACGTTTTCCCTCTTATCTTTCCCGCCGCTGTGTTTGAAGATAACTAAACTTTGACTGAGCAAATCTTACTTTTGCCGCACTGAGTCTTACATTATTGAAGGTGATTTTGCCCTCGAAGTTATTTCCTGTGTTTTGTGCTGTTGTCGGTGTTTCCGGTAGCCAGATAGAAAGGTGACAATTTTTGAGTAATGGATCGTGTTTTGATTGGTCCGCCATCAGCCAATACTTGTGGGCGTAGGTGGGCGGAAGAGCCAGAACAATGGATTGGCAATAGGCGCTTTATTTTTTTCTCCTCTCCTCGTCTCGCGCTTCCCACTCGTTTCGCGCTAAAATATTTTAAGGATTTTTCTGTATATTTCAGTGGCGATAACTCCGTAATCTTTTAACTTTTAAATTTTTACCTTTTATAAATTATAGATTTTAGAAAATTATTAATTCACCTTATGATACCATGTATAAACTCATTTTAATTTTTTTTTTCAAGCTAAAGACGTCGACACTTAAATAAAGTTGTTATGTTATGTTATATTCTATGTTATGCTTCGCGCAAAATGCCGCATTCGCGTCGCTCGGCTCATAAAGCGCCTGTTATGCAGTCTATGCAGGCTAAAATTTGGGGGGTAAACAACAAGCATTATTCGCAATGAAAATGGTGAATCAGTAGAAATCCGGATTCCACTCGCATTCAACGTCTAACCGAATCCTTTTCCAGAGCGACTAGCACAAGGTCTTTGAGAAATAAATATGGGGCTAAAAGTGATGTTACACGAGACGATTCCCAACGACGATTTTTAGCGCAACACAGCGTAGCAAGATCAGGGCGGATAAAGGTTGGGCGGTGAAACGAGCGCTCCGCTCTTCATTTAATGTGTGATGCGGAGTAGGACTGGCAGGAGCGCTCTTTCCGCGCTTCCGGTGCGCTTGAAGGCCGGCGAAATTTTCCTTTTTGCAAACCGGAAATCCTATTTTCTTTCTGTAATTTCAGGCTACAGTGAAAATAGATAAATTCGTTTCATAGCAATATCAATAAACAGTTTCATATGTTTGTGTTTGTACCTCTGTAAGTCAAACTTGTTGGTCGTATAATGCCAAAATTTGAGTATAATTTGAAAGTGTTGAATACCTCCTCCTTCCACTAAATATCACCTAATCGTCTTTCGCCGTTTCGTTTGCAAAAGCTTTTAACCTCAATTTTTACATATGTTAAAGGGGGATAAATTTTGTATAACATAACAAAAAATTAGATTGATATATATTGATATGGTGGCGTTATCTTTCTTCAAACTTTGCTTCTCGGGTGCAACGCGCCATGGGGATTGGCGCAATGCGTTGCAAATCCGGCAACCGCAGGTTTTTTCTCCGTTTTTCTCTCTAAAACAAAACAAGGTAAACAGTAAAAACTGAGGGGAAACTAATTTTGAAGTTTCGAAGAAACAGAAAGACGTATGAGATGTTTTTTTTCAAAATTAAAAAGAAGGATGATGGTGATTGAAATTAGCATAATTTCACCTTGCCGAGCTGCACGCATTTATAAAATACACGTCATCTAGGTTTCTCAAACTCATTAATAATTCATTAAGAAAATACAAAGGAAATTAATGTTTAATGAGTGTTTGGAAATCGGATGAAACACTGCTTAGTATCTGCATCCTTAATTTCTCCTTCAAAAATGATTTTGTTTGAGAAGAAATATCAAACATTCGACACAGTGTTTCATCACCAGATGAAACACCTCGAAGTTCGTCAAAAATACTCCGCTGCGCGTCGTATTTTCAACTCTCTTCTTGGTGTTTCATCTGGTGATGAAACACTGCATCTCATGTTTGATATATTACATGAAACACGATCTGCTGTCTTTTAGTTTTGCCATGGATGACATGGATGAGATTTTCCATCGTGTTTTAGACAGTACTTAGTTGTTTTTGTTTTGGAATAACATCGACATTGGCGAGTAGCAGAACGAAAATATAATTCAGTGAGTCATGGAAGTAATAAAAGAAACCCTTTGAAAGAGATGTTTGTCTACTCGCAAAAAATAGTAACATTTGCCTCTCGGAGACTGAGCGTAACAGCACAAAGGAACGAGGAAGAAGTGCAAGAAAACAAATCAAGCCGCTAAATTCAGTGACAGCGGCAGTGTCTAATGTACAAACCACATCGCAAGCCCTGACCGAAGTCGAAAACAAGCGACATTTCTAAGCATAGTCCCAGTCCATTGCATCATACCTTTTTGCTCGGACGCGTTCGTTTCACCGCCCAACCTTTATCCGCCCTGAGCAACATTGTTGAGACATTGTTTCGAGTGGACACAACATTGTTCCAATATTGCAACGCTGTGTTGCGCTAAAAGTCGTCGTTGCGAATCGTCCCGTGTAACAACTGTTTTGTCGTGAATTGTAATAATGTCGTAAATTGTAATGCCTGTCGTAAATTGTAATAACAGTTGTCAAGAATTGTAATAACCAAGCCATCGTACATTGTAATAACAAGTCATCGTAATTTGTAATAAGCCTAGCTGTCGTGAATTGTAATAACAATCAATCAATCAATCAATTTGTCCGTGTGTCTTCTTCTCTTGCTGCCTTCAAAATTGCACTAAAAACTGTTTAACTGGATAATGAATGCTGTTCTTTTTGTGACTAATGTCAAATTGCTGTCAACAAATTCGAAGTTAAATATAGTCTTTGATTGATTGATTGATGACAATTTTGGACAACGTGTCAATACAATTTACGATAGCTTAGTTATTACAATTCTCGACAATACAAAGTATTGTTATTTCAATTTACGACAGGTATTACAACTTACGACGACTGTTATTACAATTTACCACAGGTATTACAATTCACGACCGAACAAACATCACATTTAGGGAGCTTAAGCATCAACGACGGCCACGGCTACAAAAACGTCACTTAAAAAGTGGATTCGCGCTGCCTCAAACTCTATAGCGCTAACTCCATCTCCAAAAATTTGGCAAATGTTCGTTGGCCAATTTTTGTGGAGTTGAATTCTAAAGGACTGTATCAAAGTTTAGGAAAAGTACAACAAAGTTTTTTTTTTGTGTGTTCCCATCCTCGACAAAACGTGAAATTATGCATTTTGACGATGTAGTCGTGCAACGACGGCTTAGAAAAGTACAAAAACGCGTGATGCAAGTCCAAAGTTGTTTTTTTTTACACTTTAAACCAATTGTTTTTTTTCCCGTTCTCGTTGCTCCCTTTTAAGCAACAAAAACGGCGACTGCTACGAAAACGTCACTTAAAAAGTGAAGTCGCGCTGTTTCACAAACTTAATCGCGCTTATTCCATCTCGCTCAATTTGTCAAATGTTTGGCATTTTTTTTTCTGGAGATGAATTCTAACAGGCTGTATCGATTGTTTTGGAAATCTAAACCTACCGTTTTTTTGCCGTTTTCGTTCACGTCAGCGTCGTCGTTGCTTAAGCTCCCAGGGAACCACATCACATAGAATATAACTCTGGTTGTTTACCATTTACAAAAAGTTTCCAGAAATCCAGGTGGAAACTAAACGGAACTCAACTTTTCTAGAAAATTTTATGAGTTACTGGTACTATATATATGTACAGATACCGTATAGATTGATGTTACGCTGCCAGCCTAGCAATTAAGTACTAACTTTGTCATTTTTACAGTATAGACAATTCCAAGTATTAAAAAAGTGACGAAATTTCTCGAATTGACCGTAGCAACGTAAATATTAGTTTCAAATACTGTCGCTTATTTCTTATTTCCTTTAGTATTTCCTTGTCACTAGACGAGAACCGGCTATGTATAGATAAGACATCTACTCCACAGGAAACCAAAAGGCAATACAATTCGAGTTCGTGAGTAATGATACTAGATCCAAAGACGCGACGGCAACGAGAACTTCGCTTGAAAAGTGAATTAACGTTCTATCAGTCTTAAAAACGACTCTCCGACTTACTTTGTCAAATCCGGACGAACCTTCCTGAAGTCGAATTCCAAGGGACCATATCCAAGTTCAGGGAGAGAAATAACGTTTCGTCATTGCTTGTTTACGTTCTCCACAAAACGTGAAATGAGGTGCAAAAGCGGCAAAGAAACGTGAAAGGCGTGATGCACGTGCAAAGTTGCTGTTTTGCTTATTAAACCTATTGTTTGTTTGTTTGTGTTTTTTTGACGTTCTCGTTGCCGTCGCGTTGTTGCCGATCTTAAAACGAGACGATTCGAAACGACGATTTCAAGCGCAGCTTTTCGTTGCAATGTTGGAACAATGTTGCAACCATTCAAAACAATGTCGCAACAGTGTTGTAATGCTATGTTGCACTAAAAATCGTCATTGCCAATCGTCCCGAGTAACATCACCTTAAAGTCCCTAAGAGAAAATGGGAAACCTATCCACGCCCGCTCGAACGTACGGACTGGTAGGGAGGTACTAAGCAGACTCTGGGGGGGATGGGGGTGGGGAATCCAAGACATTTAGGTGGCGTTTGCCTTGGCGAAACGTTAGCCACTTCACCTAGAGGCAGCCAATGGAGTTTAAAAAAGATATTGAAATTCCGTTTGTTTAACTGACGACAAAAAAAACTTGAAAAGTTGAACCGGGACAACATTGGTGGGAGGTAAGTGCTCTCACCACTGCGCCACCTTTACTCTCCACGCAGTGGCGGATACAGGGGAGGGGTCCGGGCCCCCCCTTATTTTTAGACCAAACTGAGGCCTTAAGGGCCTGAAAACATTTTTTGGAGACCGCCCCCCTCCCCTCCCCCCCTTATTTCAAGATCTGGATCCGGCATTGCTGAGGGTGAATTAGTAAAGTCCTTAAGAGATCAACGCTAATTAGTTACCTACCTTACGGCATGAAGAAATAAATTTTAACCTAGAGAACGTCTTTCCAGTGCTGTGAAAAATTGTCGTTTATTGGGTTATTCTACTAGATTAGTATTTTCTATACGATGATCAAAACTCACTCACTCAGGAGCCCATATGACTCCCTATTTACATATTACTATTGTTGTTATACATTCAATTCCTGTATCATTTATAAAACTGAGCTCAGTTAAATAAATTATCTTGTCTTTTCTTGTCCTACCTTGAATTTTTAGACTGCAACAAGAATTTTTCTTCAACTGCCATCTCGCGCCCTTAGTCGCACGCGTGGCTATTTCTTCTCAGCGCTCGTTGACCAGATTCCGGGCAAATCTACGTCAGCAGTGTAAGGTTTTGGGGCCAAATCACAGAGTTACTGCTCTCCAGCGAAACGTCTCTAGCGGTGAGAAACGAGGAGAGACTGCTGTAGAATTGTTTTGCTGCTTCTAAGCTGCGGGTAGCGGGCACCACATGCATGACTAACCTAGTAAATATAGGGTGAAATTTACGAATTGCCAGTCATACATACGCCCTTGCTATCCAAAAAAGTCGGCTCTTTATTTTGGATTTAACTAAGGGAGCATAAAGCTTCACCCTTAGGCTTTCTTGATTAAACTTAAATCTCTTGATGGACTGAAGAACCTCTGAATATTCTGTCCATTTTATCAAGATTCAGCGGGAGTTCCAGTATTCACTACTTAAAAGAAATTAACAGCGAGCAGGACGAAACATTTCCTAGTCAGCGAACAAAAACTGATGCACTGGAGATGTTATCTTTGACTGTGGCTTGTAGTGACACCTGCCATCTCCAAGATTGCTTTGTCAGGATTCTCATCCCACCTTCCGGGGCGTTTGACCTACAAATATTCAAAGGTTTCTTTCTTGTTATGAAGATCTACATTACGGTACTACAGATGAAGATCCCTGGTTACCAGTGACTTTTCATGCGCGGTTTCCGGTTTCAGTCCTTTTTCGTGTCTTCGGCCAGGCCGACCCGAACCATCTCAGCCGTCCGTACTCAATCGCCTCACGCGAGAAAAAGACACTGGTACCCAGGCAGGGTTGATCTACATTTGCAATCAAAACAATAAAACACTTTACAAGCATAGCGATCAAAGTTTGCTATCTCTGCTGGCATTGCTTTCTAACTCATATATGCAGAGAGCAATGAATAAGGTCTTGCCGTCATCAGTGATTTGGGTGCGATTTTTTATATGAGGTACAAAGTATACATGTCATATAAACTATGATGGACTTTTCTTTCCACCGAATTTTGTATTTCATCAAGATTGGCTCAAAAGCGGTCAACGTTACGTTTTATGTACGACTGGCTCGTCACCAAATTTTAACTGACGCTATTTTTGAAAAAGAGAGCTCACCACATCGAGCGCAGAGTATTCTATAACGAACAAACAAAATAATGGACCAAAGTGAATTAAAAGCTTTCAAATCCTCTTTACTAAAATAGTGACAATGTTGTTCATTTAACACGTAACACTTCATTGCCGCATGGCCGCCAGGAATCCTTGAACCATAGTTTGATGCTTGAACTGCTTTGCAACTAAATATCTCCGCATTTACGAGCTGGCTCAGAGGGGCTTTTGTTTATGATATGCGTCAGACAAAAGTTTTATTTCTGCTCAACCAACGATGCTATTTCCTTCAGCCAGGATATAATGTCAGGCCAATTAAAAGCAGGAAGGACAAACAACTAGGTCTGTTTAACACTTCTTGACAGTCGTCTGAGTAGCTGGCGGGATTGTTATGCGTGGGGTACTTTCCAAGGCCCCGTCCACACTAATGCGTTTTCGTTTGAAAACGCGTGCATTTCGGTGCGTTTTAATAGGCCTGCTGTCCACAATAATACGCTCAGCGTTTTCATTGAAAACTCATCGATGTGAAAACGCTCTTGAAGGTGGATCAAAACGAAAACGCATACATATTGTACTAGTGTGGACGGCCGAAAACGTTACAGGCGCGTGTGTTTATAGCATGCGCACAGAGTTCAACTTACGTTGCGACGTGCAATTCTATCGTTTTGGAACGTTGTAACGTGGACAGTCGAAAACGCATGAAAACGGAAGTGTGTACGCGAATCGATCGATGCGTTTTCGATGATAACGAAAACGCGTACTTTTGAAAACGCATTAGTGTGGACAGGGCCTAAAACAAGAGCACTCTTCTACCGGGGAAGGTACTCCGGATTTCAAGTGACATGGATGATCGAATGGTGGGAAAAATCAAAACCCTAAAAAATCCCTATGACCTCAAAACAAACCCCCCCAAAAAATCCCTGGACCAAAATTTAACCCTCAACAAATGCCATTCCCAATTTCCGCGCCAAAAAAATTTCCTGAAAGCATTAAATGATATAACACGAAAAACAGAAACATATTAATGGAATGTTTGTGTTTGTTTATTCATCCGCACACCATCTGGAGTAAGAACGTTTTTCGCATCTGGCGGTCATTGTAACAAAACTCGAGACACCCAAGAACATATTCTATTAACCGGTTTTATGAAAACGAGGTAATATAATGCGTTAAATATTAAAACAGTCGCAAAACAAGTGTGGTTTTTCTTTATTCGCGGAACTACCCGGCCGGGATACGCGGGAACTATCACGAATCTTGAAATTGTTTTGAATACCCAAAAAATCCCTACTTAAATCACGCTACCCGAAAAAACACTTGCCAAAATTTTCCTACCCAAAAAAATCCCGGAACAAATTAACAATTAAATAAAAAGTTTCGCCCCGGGGATGGAGTCCGCTTGAGTGTTTTTCCCGAAATCGAATATTTCAAACCCAAAGAAATCCTTCGATCATCCCTGTCACTCGAAACCCGAGTCAATTCCCCGGGACTCGCCTGCTAATCCCGCAAGCCGCTACAAAGGCTACTTGAAAGACGGTCGTGTCACACAATTTCAAAAATTTACCGCAATATCATCAACTTTGAAGGGAACACACATATCGATTAACCTTTTGTAACTTTTCAGCTTGTTTCCGTTCCCATTGCTGTTGTTTCTCTTGTTTTTCTTTCACTACTTGACCTCCACATCCCCAAACCTAACAACAAGTTAAAAAAAGGCAATGTCAAAAATGAAGAAAACTTAGAATCACTGTGGAGCCCCGTCAATATGGACACCGACGCGTCATGCCTTAGTGTCTGTATTATCACCGGGTTAAATTTTAGAGGGTAATATATTTCGGTTTTTTTTGTCGTCAACCTAGACCACTTCATTTTCCGCCAAACGAAACTGTCTGTATATACGGATATCCGAAAACTAGTTAAACAGTTTATTTTAAAATCTCGGATTAGTTAATCGGGGTTTAGTTCTTTCAGGACTGCACCCACGATTAGTTAAATAAAATTAATCGGAATGTCTTTAAGTCCATTAAATTCACCTAGCAACCTTTGTGACATTACATCCCTAATGAAAAAGGTCCCCGCCAAATCTCCACTAAAATAGTGCGTATAATGACGAAGAGAAGGGTATGTAGAGGTGGAAGTGTTGTAAGTTTAAACATGAAAATATAATTAGGTTAGTTAATAATTTGATCAACAAAGAGATCATTCATGGCGAAGAGAACTTTTTTCATCGCGGTACTTTGCAGGAAATCCCGAGTGAGCAAAATAGGCCCATCTTAGCCACTTCAGGGGCAGATCTAGGGGAAGGGTGCAGGGGGTCTGCCCGCCCCCCACCTGAGATGACCTGCGGCTTTCTAATACAACTGGTATTCTGTATTAAAAGTTGTTTACGTCACCAGTCAGTTACTCCACTCCTTAGGGGTGGACCCCCTCTAAAGAAAAATCCTGGTTACGCCCCTGGATTTGCGCAATAACATTGATTTTGACCAAGCGTGGGGTCAACATGGTTAGATATGGGCTGCGGAGTTCCTTTTTGCGTTTTTATTCACCGAGAAAAACGCTTTAGATACTTTTTCTAAATCCTGTTTGCATGGTAAGAATCGATGATAGTCAAGTCAAGTCAAGTCAATTTTTATTTAAACTCACACAGAATAACTATAATTAATACAAATTAGTGCTTTAAAATATAAAATCGAGAGATTGTGGAGGGAAAGAGAATTTCAATCGTAGGTTCATTGTGCAGAGTTTGGGACACCTAAATAGTTCGTGGAACTAACCGAGTAGGTGACCCAAACAAGAATATGAGTAGAGGGAATATAGATACAAAATAGGTGTTTTAGATAAAAAGTATTACTTCATTAATTAAATAGTAGTTAAGATAATATAATCGTAAAACATTAGGAATCAAAGCCGTTCACTCACCTCGATTCTTTTTACTGTCTGCGGGGACAAATCCGCTAGATAATGGAGTTTAGCAGAAGTCAAACCAGTGTCCAAACTAACACAGGGTCTTGATGTTTGGCCTAGTACAATGCCAGATGGTAAACCTCTTGCCCGCTCGTTGAAAAATATCAAATTTGGACCCGCTAATACAAAACAAACAAACAAACAAACAAAAAAACATCTTTAGGCTGTAATACCCTGGAGAAATGAAAAACAAAGGTTATGCAAAATTTGGGGGGGCAAATAAGGTACATTATGGGAAATGAGGAAGTGGCGTATAATAGCGCCTTTGAAGTTAAGGTCGCTATCGACTCAGTGTCAATGACACAAGCAGGTATTGAGTTCCATGGAACCACCACAAGCCGTGAAAAAGCCCACAAGAAGATTACTGTCTGAACGAAAATGATTCTTCTTTTAATTCAGGAAGTGACGTTAAATGTATTTCTTTAGGTAGGCAAACGCGACAAGATAAATTTCTTGTTCTTACCTCTTAATACCCGAAACTTGGGTCTTATTTGTACGATCCTACAGTCTGAGTTACCCCAGCTAGAAGATGACTCCCTAAACAACAAACATTGATGAACAAATGACTTATCTGGGTTATCAGGACAGGATAAGATACAGGCAGTCGATTATTCTTCAAATTTATTATAAAGCTAATTTAAAAAATAATCATGTAGACTACAAAGCAGCGGATGGAGCCTCGCGCCTTGAAAACCGATTTTGAGAAAAAAAAGCCTGACCGTTTTGCAGTCTGAAAATTACCGTTTTATCAGGTTTAAGCCAGCAACACTGTTTCAAGGATCATTGCTGTTATTCCATCCCATCCAATTTGTCAAATGTTGGCGGTCTTTTCTGGAGTTAAATTCTAAAGGACTGCATCTCAGATTAAAAAAAAGAATTTAAAAAATCGTTGTCTCCTGTTCATGCACGTCGTTGTCGAGCAACCGCCACAAAGAAATGTACAAAAAAGCGTGAAGAACGAGCAAAGTTTAGTTTTGCTAATCTAAACCTATTGCTTTCTTGCCCTTTTCAATGCGTCGCCTTCATCGTTGCTTATAAAGCCCCCTATCATCCGGGAAGACTACCAAGTGCAAAAATGTGTAGAAGTCAGAGCAAAGGCAGCAACAATTTTACCTCCATTCCACATCCACTGCTACCACCAGCAGTTCGTCCTTTTCTATCCTTAAAAGGGTCACAGTAGGCCCACGATATGCCATGCAGTGGTGCTTGAATCTATACACAACGGTACATAGGACTTAATAGGCAACAGGAACCCAAGCATAAAAATCACTCACGCCACAGTGGCACCGTTTAGTCTTCTTGTCCTCATACTTTTTACCCAGCCTCCTCCTCAGGGGCTTCGTTTTTCGCAAGGTGGAGGCCAGCGACTGGTGATGAACCGCAAGGGACCGTGGGAAGGGTACAGACAGCAGGCACATTTTCATCGAGAGAGAGACGTCTAGGTACGAGGCAGCTTTTTACCAGTACAAACATAGATACTGTTGTACACTGTTTACAGTTAGCCATTACGACATCTGAAGGAGGATCACGAGGTTATCCCTAAATCTCTCCTTACAGATAACCCACCCAACCCAGGAAAGGTTGACCACACCACCGGGGTCTACGTCCCCTACTCTTTTCGAACAGTGGTGTGGGTTCTTTTACGTCCCACAAGAATCAGATAAGTGAAAGTGCCGTGAGACAGGAACTACGGCTTTTCATCCTTATCAGAGAAGACTAGAAAGTCTAACCCTTTGCAGATGTCATTACAAAGACAGCACTTTCTTCTCAGCTGTTTAAAGACCCTGAGTGTTGGCCCGGCCGGGGTTCGAGCCCGCGACCTCCCGCTCAGCAGAACGACGCTCTCCCAGCTGAGCTAACCGGGCGGCGGTATGGCCTCAACTTCATATCAGTCAATAAAAATACAAAAATACACATTCAGCTACAGTGGAACTTAATTTATTTAATGCAACCACCTTTGAGCTATAAAATCCTCATTGTAATATCGAGGTAGTCATTTAATGGGGTCTTCAAAAAATAAAATTATTCAGTATTTTTTTTACGTTGATATCGAAAGAATATGACTGTAGTTACCAGGTGCACGTATAAACGAGATGGTAGTAAATATATCCACTGTATCGTGAGCAAACAAGCTTGGTCAATAACTAACGCATACAGCGTATTTACGGTAGATAGCAACTTCAAATTCATTTTAGAAACAAAAAATAGTTACAGTTAAGGCCCGGTTTACGGACACCCGCTTAAGGTACCATGTTAATAAGGACACCTTCTATGGCCCCCTTAGGGTGGATTTCCACTGTCGCGTAATTTTTACGTGCGTACGCCCGTAAAAATTAACGTTGACTTCTCAAATAAAATAGAGGCAATGCTTGAAAGGTCGCAGGTAAAAGTAAAAGTTGAACCTCGCTAAACTTCACGTTTAAGCTCAACACTTTATATACACGAGTAAAATTTACGTGCGTGTACACGTACGTGACTGTACTATCAAGTTACCTCACGGTTGTTTTAAAAATGTACAAATAATGAAATTACACCTGTTTAAACTCTGTCCATGTTCCTGGCTGTCATACAGCAGCCTCCATTCCTTGCACTGAAACGCACATATATGTAACATGTTGTGAAAGGTGACTTGAAACTTTGGGAATACAAAACAATTCAAAAACAAAAAAATACAAATACAAAGTATCTGAAATCTGATACAACGTGGATGGATTTTTAGCCCCGATGTCTCTGGAAAATATTACAGAAAACTAGTGTAACAGATTGAAACCCATCGGCAACAGCACTGCAGACAGTTTTGAAATGATTTGCTACGAAAACACTCAGAATAAGGGCACCCAAGGTGAAAAAAAAAGCACGGTGACCCCATCTTTTTATTGTCCTATGTATGGTAGTCAGTTGTGCTAAGTTAAAATAAAATCTGGATAGTACATTACCTTTTTTAGGTATCTAACAACATTATTTACTGTACACTGACAAAACCCTACCATTTCCTGTGGCTTCTTTTCATCTGAAGTGATCTTCTGCTGCTCTGCTGAGTTGGAACTTTGAGTTACATTACCAATGAAACAAGAAGGAAGAATAGTAGAAAGAATCCAAAGGGTTTCTGTGTTTAGAAGTGATTGGCTATCAAGTTGCTCTTTGACACTAGGAATGCCATGAAATCCCTAGGAAATGATATGACCGAGGGAAAAACAGCAATTAATGTTCACTGACCCAATCAAACAGAATGTATTTTCCTTACTTTCCCCTCCGCTGCCGTGACCCAGAAACTAATCTTTTGACTTTCAGTGTTCATGCTGCAAATACTGTCAGCAGCAACCTTGCAAACTCCAGGGAAATAGATACTACAACAGTCGAGAGTTTATTGGAAAGAGTTACTGCATATGAAAAAATATATATTACACATTAAAAAACACAGTATAGCTGCTGTTAGTAACTTACTACTATTTCAACAGATTTTAAACCGACAATTAATTTCCAACTAGGATCAAGTTGATCGCAACACATTAAAAAAAATTCAACTCCTTTGATTGCTGGTTCAATTTTGGAATGCAGAACTTTAATTTGAGACACATTTTTCATATTTTTAAAATCAGCACTTCATTTATAGCAGCTTTCAATTTAGTTTAAGAGACCAGTCACCTCTTTGGGGATCATAGATCATAGGACTCAGCCAGTTTAAGTACCTGCGGGACAGTACCAGGTGAATGTCCTCTATACAGCAACATTTTTATCATCCAGAAGTGAATTCCATCAAACACTCTTGGACAGTTTTGTTTAGCCCATCTACAGAATCTGTCACAATCTATGTGGGTGCCTTCCTCACCCATCTATAAAATTAATGCAAAAAGGGGTTAAAAGAAGTAATTTAAAATTCAGTCTGCAAAGACATAAAATATGCTAAAGACGACCCTCTTGGACACCTGACCAGCTCAAATGTCAGCCATTGTTTTCTTACCAAAACAAATTCTTTATTTTTCCAATTTCTAATAGTGGCAGGCACCTACAATGTGAACTGACTGACATGATAAGGGGTGTTCACTGACATCAAGAAAATTGGAAAAGCTTGATTTGATTTCAAAATTTTGGTGGCATTAAAGTGGGATTCAGAACATTGTTTTGTGCTAAATCCTTTAAGCCTTTTAGTAATTATTAAACTTTTTGCCACTGGGCCTAATGGATTTAATAACAATGATGAAACTGATCAACTGATTTACTTCAACTCACAATAGATCGTGCCCACACATCTGCTATTGTCTCTGTTTCAGGCTTTGGACCTTGAATGGTGGTGGCGAGAGCCACAGCGAAAGATCTTGAGATATGAAACATTTCCACCACATCTGAATTACAAAATAACAAGCAATAAGTTGAAGGGCTTTGAGGAAAATAGTGGCCCTACTTATGGCTTCAGATCACTGCTAGACTCCTTCCAAATTGCCTTTTATTTACTTATGAAACAGAAGAAATATATTACATTGTTAATTCATACAAAATATTTTGCCCTTTCTGATTGGCCCCTAGCAATCACTTGGCTAATTCTTCATCACCAGCTGGCACTCACCATATTTGGAAGAACTGATGTGAGCAATGGTATATATTATTGTTACCCCATCAATCAAGCTCACTACCACTAACCAGGCATGGCAGCCTAGCTGCTTATTTACCAACTAAAAAATATCAATGGTGTTTATGGCTATCTGAACACGAAATGGCTGAATTCCTGAATAAGTCTGAATGGAACAAATGCAAGACTAAGGAAAACATATTGCTTGATGGAAGTTGCCTACTTTTAATTTGAGGAGTACCGTATTTATTCAATTTAACGCCGCAGCGTTTATTTAAAGCGGCATTCACTTGAAATCCTTTTTTTTTAAATCACTGACGACAGTTATTGTAAATTTTTTGTGATAATAATTATTATGTAATTTAAAGGTTCCAATGTCTCCCTTATTTTGCTGAGATAGAATCGTAATGTCTGGATGGTGTAAATTATCAAGTTATACCAAGGCTTTTCTTTTTATCCTTGAGTAAATGCCGCATTCTTCTGATAAGGTGCGGCGTTTACTGGTATTCGAGGGCAGCGTTTATTGGTAATTTTGCTTTCACCTGCGGCATTTGATTGAGGGAGCCATTTATTCAAGGGCGGCATTTAATTGAATAAATACCGTACCTGGAAGAAAAACAAAAAGTTCTTTGTTCTGCTGAGATTATGTACAGTTTCATATCTTTGTCAACGTGATGTTCAAAATCTGATTCATCTCATCATTTCCATTCGAAAGCTTTTGTATGATGTGAAGAATCTAGGAGAGGCTGTTATCAGCTGAGGTGGATAACATTCTCCTCAATCTGCATAATTTTCCAATGGTGTTATTAATAAAAAGAAAGCACAAAGCCGAGAGAGGTACCTGTGAAAGACATGGTTGGTTCCCCATCACAGAAAATGGCAAAGTATAATTCCAACTTCCCCTCAACAGAGACCCCTGTGGATACAAGAATTTACAGGAAAATAAGCAACTGGTAAATGTTAACAGATTGATAGTCTCGGACTCCTAGGCCGGGGTTAATATGAGGTTTGACACATGTACAACACAAAACAGACAAGAATAGAAAGCTTTTCTGTTTTCAGCTTCAACTTCAACTTTATTTGAACAAAATATTATTATTTTCTAAAACTATGCACAACAAAAAGGGACTGGTCTGCAATTAGCATAATTTGCTAATATGACAGGAACAGTCACACTAAAACATTACAATGAAAATAACTGTTATTTACAAAAATTACAAAAGAAGTCTTAATTTACTAACACAAATTTTGGTGCAGATACAGTATCAATATTACAAGCTCAGTTTCACTTAGTAAGTTTGAGTGAAGAAACTTAAGTTCTATTATTTTGTATCCTTTTAGAGGTAATTTGTGAAATATTTTTCTCTTGATTTTTTTTCAATTGCCTTTGTATCTCTCATCATTAAAAGAAAATTATTTTATACATTCAAAATATTTCCCTGATTTTGATTGGCTAAAGGCACACGCATAATTCACCATAACCAGCTACTGATGACCAAATTTGGAAGAATTTTGCGATCAATCAACCAATGACGTCAAAAATGCAACTTTCTAGCAGGCTAATGCACCTTTAACCTAGAAGACCTGGGAACGAGGTTGAGTTGTTTTGGTAGTGAAAACAAAAAATGGCCGACATTTCACTCCTTTCAAGAGTAAGAACTAGGCTAAATAATAGCTAAAAACATGGCAAGAACAGCAAGAAGACAACCGAAGGGTGGCATCTGCTACGTGGAGAATATTTGTGAAGCTGAACAACCATAAACGTGCGCTATGAGTCTATCGAAGATGAACTTAACATCGATGGAGGTAAGCATGTTTTAGCTATGTTTTTAAACAAGGAATAATTTTGAATGAATAATAAAACAGTTATTGAATTTGGCTTTGGTATCATATGAAGAATTATGGAGATCTCTGAGGGTGTTATCCGTCGAGGCCATAACACCCTCCTCGATCTCCATAATTCTTCATAAGGTACTTAGCCTCATTTATTAATCGTTAAATATACAGTGGAAAAACGTCTTAACTTATCCTCAGATTTAACAAATTATAGGAAAACTTGCGGAGCTCCTTGAGGCACGACTGACCACCTCAAGTGCTATAATTATGCTCACTGTCAGCATATTGGAAAGTTTCCCTTTTTATGCATGTAAAAAATTATATCAACACCAAGAAATTATACGTTGTGCAGACTCTTACAGTGAGTTACTACCTTTCTCCAAGAACGTTTCAAATCCAGCTACAAATTCAGTCTTTGTCAGCTCAACAGCATTCCTGATGGATCCTCCAGTTGAGGAAATGTATGAAAAGAGCAACTCATCAAAATCATCTACCTTTGATCGGAAGTAGTTCTAGAAATTATAGCAAAGAAAGAGAAATACCACTGAACGAAGTACAGAGCAAAACCTGTTATTCTATTACAATCACTCAAGGATCATAGGAATTTGGATATTACACAGATTGACAAGACAAGGTGGTCATATGAACAACATGGTCATAAGGAGGGGTCCTACTGCACAACCTAATTAATATATCACTTATACTACATGTAAATGGCTGACTGCAAATGGAAGCCAGATATTTACTTCTTATATTTTGTATGTTACATGTAAATCGTTGCATTGTGCACATTTGGCAAATGTAAACCCTCTTAAAAATTTTCTCTTTAATAATGGCCCTATATTATGAATCTTAACAGAGTTGCATTACTGGTAGTTTTAAAATATGTACCTGTAAATCAAATCAGGATTTTTACCAAGAATTCTAGTAGCAGGAGAAAGGTGTAATGTTACAGGAGAATATTTTGAAAGAGGCTCCATGTCTGAATAAAAGATAGTCATAGGCCACTGAACATTTGCCAGAGAATTTTGCATGGTTAACGGAGAATTCTACGATCTCTAGTGCCTAATGAACACCCTGCAAAAACTGGGGTATGGTTAAATAATATTGTAACTATCAATTAAAAGAAATCTATAGGAATTCTCCAAAATTACAAATGTGCATGCACGTACCTGAAACGTTTCCTTTCTCAAGATCAAAATCCTGTCTTTAACCTCTCCAAGCTCCTTTATTGTATTGGTTTTAAAAAGAGAGAATACAATGAAAAACTGACATATGAGAACCAAAAATTCTGGACAAGCTCAGATGACTGTTCTGTTACTGTAGTAGAATAGAGAGTGATTTGTATAATATTATATAATGCTTAATTTTAGTCTGGAGGTAAGAATATAATTTTACTACATGTATTTACAGTTTCTTATAAGTGGGTGTTTACTGACAGTATTTGAGATCATAGCCAAAACATTATTGCTTTAAAACTTTATTGATAACTTGGCTGTCAATGTACCACTCAGTTTAACAAGGATAAATTTAGGATGAAAGTGTCCTGAACACACAAGAACCTGATGCATGTAAATGCACCCTTGACATATCACTTTCAAACTTTCAAGACAACTTTACTAACAATGGCAGAATGCTTCATGAAAAATGCACATTTTGTACAGTTAAAACACAGTCAAGTTATTGATGCATCAGAAATAGAATGAGTGAGCGTATATTATAGCAAAAAAGTGATATTTCTAATACTAACAAGTGCATAACATATATTGTGCTGATCAATTTGGAACTTCAAAATTTTCCCCTCCTCCCAGACATTCCCCCCACTTCTCCGCCCTTCGGGCATTTAAACCTTTTTAAGTCAGGCCTGGTCAAGTTCCCTTTACATTAGCCCAATGTAGTAGTCAAATGCCCTTCCCAAAGAAAAAAGGTTTTGCAGATTTTGAATTCAAAAAACAAACTTTGCGTTTGCAATCTTGGTGTGCGAGGATGTAAGGATTATAGTTATAATACATCTTTCGGACGACTAAAAGTAAGTACGCGCTTATACAAATTCACAGTCATAATATACTTTGAATTAAGAAGGGAGTGACATTAGGGTCATGGTAAAAAAATGCACACAAGTCGAGTAGCTTTTGCAGTCTTTGCCGAACAAGCCATTCGTTTACAAAAGATATTTCTTAATACCTAATAACTACTCGAGACCACCTAACAATGAGAAAGACTGGATCTATTGAACTACACTGTTAGATGCCAGATTGTAAAAGGATATTACATTTTTTAAATTTGCAGTTTCAAATTACCCACCCTACCCAAGCAAAGGTCAAATTCTCAACTCTTCTGGCATAAGTAATGGTCAAGTGCTGGTGGCTCTCTCGGGCGGATGTTGATGTATTGAATTGATCGGCACATTATAGGGGCCAACAAAAAATTAACCCTTCAGATTTAATTTTTAGAAGTGGAAGGGAGATTGCCGGCTATAAATTTAACATCCCTACAAGTGCAGACACCCGCTTAAAACATTATCATTACAGTTTGCTTTGTCTCTGTGGAAAGAAAGTCCTTATATTTTCTATAAATTCTCAGTGTCCGTATTAACGGGGGTTAAACAGTGCTACATGAACATGTATTCAGTCACTTCATGACATACTGGTCCTCCTTCACCGTACCAGAAAGAACTATACATGCCATGTACATGGATAGATCCGATGCTAGCTAAGCTTAAATACTAAATAATCCACTTTTTCAAAAAAAGCACTCTTTATATTACGAATACAGAATTTAAAGAATATTACAAGGTTGACCTAGTAAGCTTAAGCGTCACGTTTGGATAAAAATAAATTCGATCACAGACAAAACACAGCTGACTTCAATTATGTCGACACAGCAGTGTTTTCTCGGGAATATTTTGCTCACCTCATACAAGCTTGAAAGTTTTTCATAATGAACGGATCTTTGAACTGGTTCTTGATGACTAGCTTGCTTGTTCCCCATCTGTTCTGGGCTGTGAAATCATTGATAAAAACTCAAAACATCTCACCAAAATTATCCTGCTCCATCTTGCAGATCTTGAATTGAATCCGCCGCGAGGAAATAACGTGATATCTCTTGTTACCACAGAACACCAGCCTTCTGTAGTGCTTGTCACGCAAGTAGCGGTTCATGCCAGAGTTCAGGCATTGCGAAGAGTATTTCTTTTAATTTGTACAGGCCTCATAAAAGCTTCGTCTCTTTTTTTCCTTTAACTTTTAGTCCCCAAAGAACTTTTTTGTTAAAGAAATTTTAACAAATTGTACCAAGCAAATCGGAGGCTGGTGTTTCTGTGTTATCTCTTTGAGCCAATGTCAGCGGATTACCTTGGAAGAACAATTCGTGGCACTTCTCAGAAGAAGAAGAACTAAAAATGCAGCTTTGTGCGATCGGTTATTAGCTCCAATTTTGGCTAAAAATGGGGGCTAAACCCTCGTCTATCAGCGACCTACAACATAATCCCGTCCTCCTAAAGCTTACTGGGGAGACGGCAGTCGCGGAAAACGATGAGTTTTGGGAGGATATTCTTGCGTTTTCATTTCAAGCGCCGTACAACAGGTTAGAAGTTGTTAATAGCGCGATGTAATTTGTGCATAAAATAAGTATACTTGGGAATTAGTTTTATATAGGTATCTTTGACACCTAATTTGATTGAATTCTCAGTCATTTTATGTCCTAGTTTATTTGTTTAGTTGATATTATACGCAAAAGTTAAGCTGTCCTAATTGGTAAACTTTATCAACTGAACATAAGAACATAAGCTTACCTGTAACTTCACGCGACTCTTAAAGTAAACATGTAATCTACCGCATACACTGCTTTAAACTTCAGTTTTATACTGTTAGTTAGTGCTTAATTTCTAAACAAAATTATTTAGGGCTATCGATCAAGGTTAAACTTTATACTAAAGGGTTAAGTTATATAGTATTAAGGTTAACAAAATGTAATTGTTGGACGGAGGTAACAACAGTGTTATTATGTTTACAAGTGAGGTGTGTTTCCAGGTATTTCAGTTTCTTCCGATGCTTTCTGCATAAACAAATTCACTTCAGACCTAATAAAACGAGCAGTGCATAGAATTCTTTTGAAAATGGGAACGTAACAACATTTTCATAGTGTAGTGGTGCATGCCCCCTATGATTGGTCCATTTAGTACGGCTCATGTTATTTCACGCTTCTTCAAACTACTCAGGCCTAAGAGATAAGTCACTCAGTGATAAGTTTTAATGTGCATCAAAGGTCTTTCTTTTATGGGGGGGGGGGGGGGGGCCAGTATAAAGGAAGGTTATAAACAAACATAAAATGATGCACAGCAAAAATAATTTCAAAAAAATGCAGTTTTTGTTATTACATCCAAATTTACCACAAGAATGAAAACAATGTGGCACTCGGTCTCAGAAAACCCCAATACCACAGGTTAAAATTAAATGTCTGTAAAACCATGTCAAAAAATAATGTGAAACGTCATAATCCTAAAGATGCCACTCTCCAAACTCTTTGTTTACATTCCATACTATAAGTCACAGAACCTCATTTTTCCCATCACTTTTATGTGTACCTCAAAGGAAAAAAAAATTTTTGCACTTAATATACAGTTTTAATTTTCTTTGACCACCTTTAGGTATTTTGGTAAATAATTTAATAATTTGGGTTAATTATTGGATTAAAATTTATAACCTTTATTAAAGCATGTGTGCATAACACCCAAAGAAACTGAAAGGGTAAAGTCGCAGGTCGTTAGATTGAATTTTCTTGCTTTCTTCCACTAGTGCTGATGCACGATTATTAGAAGAAGCTACAGAACCAATCTGCCAGAGACTAGGTAAAAAAAAAGATTTATAGACAACTGAATTACATGTATAAGGAGGCTTTACGTATACTATAAGATTTTATGTATGGCCTACAGGCCCTACAATGCACCGCTTCTCACCTGTGGAATTCTCTGACAACTGAATAAGTAATTGCCAAGAGGATCATTGTAGTTAAAGACGAGACTTGCGTGTATGCAAAGGAAGCATGAAAAAATTAAGGCTTCAAACCCTGCCCTCAATAATATTGGTGCAGCACTCCAAGAAATTGAGCTAGCAATTGCCAACTGGGAGCTAGGGCATTAAATTGGTTCATAATGTGGTGAAGATGAATAATTGATGAATATATGAATTTTGTATAAATTATTGTAACCATGAAATGAAGAAATGAATGCTAAGAAGACACAACATATGTACGTTGCAAAAAAAAAGCCTGAAAAAATTCAGGTAACTGCATAAGTTGTGTCTTTAACTGTGCGTCTTCTTTGAATAATAGGCAAAGTTCTGGATTTCTGTTCAAAATGTTTTTCACGATTTTTAAGTGGATCCACACATGTATGGGACCAATAGACAACAGAGAGATTTTTGGGGGGGGAGAAGGAAGTGTGATATGGCATCATTTCTGCTTCCCGACTACTGTGGAGTAGTTTCACTCAATTTTTGGAACAAATTTACAAGATTTGAGTATTATAATTGTTCACTATTATTGTAACCATGAAATAATTGTTTTTCAGTTGGCAACAACTTGAAAACAGGCAACTTTGTTACCCTAATAAAGATGTTTTTGAAAAGAATCCCTGAACTGAAAGACAGTGCAAAGTGCGAAGAGTAAGTTAAACCATCCATAATTTATAAATTGTCATTGTTGTCCAGGGCTGTCAAAAAGTTTTTAAGTAGCTATGAATAGTAGGTAGCTTTGGAACTCACCCCAAAGGCACAAGTTCTTCGAGGGCCTAAGCATCTAGGGACATTTTGAAAATTAGATTCTCGGAAATGATGTTTCCAGGGGTTTTCAAGAGGTATTTTCCACTGCAGACACCATGTTGTTTCGTTAGAATACACGCAATACTGGGAACAATGCTGTCGAAATGTCCCAGGCATTCCACGACATCCCACGGTTCAAACGTTTCACAATCTCAACTTGTTTAAATATGCGTTCGAAGTCATTCAAAACTGGTAAACGGATGCTTTACAATTTTATTCGATGGTGCTTATTTTTTGTTAGCAGTTATGGTAGAAGGAGATAAAAGTAGCTGGCTGAGGATGGCGAACTAGCCAGCAGTTTTGGCCGGCTACTGGCCCTTATTGACAGCCCTGGTTGTCTTTTCAAAGCTCTCTATTCATCACTCAATGGTTCATCAAAACCTATGATAATTAGTACGACTTAATTAACTTCTTTTTTCTTTTTTGTTGTTGTTGATGCCTATTTCAGAGAGGACTTTACCTGGGAAACATACAATGCCATCCTTCTTGTCCGAAGTTTTTCTAAGTATTTTATTGAGTTTTTGCCCAATGAAGAAGTGATTAGACAACTGGGTGGCTCTGTTGTGAAGTCACAAGGAGATGAAGTGTCTGGTTTTACGGAGCAAGTACTACATTGTACAGGTGAGAATAGATAACAATAATTAATCTTTGGAATCAATGTGAATAGTGGCAGAAAATTCATTGACTGGAGTCTCAGTCATGAAGTGGCAATTTATAATTACTTTTACTAAGATTGAAAAGAAAAATGTTTATAAGTAGGTGGAGCATGATCGCCGGGGTGAACGTACTCCCGAATAGAACTGTTGTTGACAATGACTGATGTTTCAACAACCTGTGTGGTAGTCATTTTCAGAGTCAAAGTGAGCTTTATCATGTCAGTTGATGGTCTTAAACTCTTATTATTGACCTGATTAGTCAATAAAGTCATGAATGTCACTGGTCGTTTGTCACTTAAGCCATGATGTTATGTGCTATGAAGACTCTTTGTCATAATTAGTGCGTTTCAATCCATCTTTTGTCACAGTTTAACGTTTATTTAATGTTAGTGAAACATTTCACTATAAGAATATTATTGTATTGTTGTATCCACACAAAGTGATACCAACAGAATCAGAAAGGAAACCATTAAAAAAATAATTTGGTTGACAAGTTGGGTCAATTCATGTGTGAAAAATGCACAATGCCTTAAAACGTACGTGCGCAAAAGTTAGATCTTTACAGAACTCTCAAACATGGCAAGTCTTAGTTTCAATGTGTTTGCAAACTATTTCATCAATGGTTAAGTGCAATTGACAACTGCCTAAGAAGAAATGAAGAGATTTTTTTGCCTCTTCTAATTTCTTTCTAAGTGACCAACCCAAACTCCTGTCAAGTAGACCTATTTTAAAATTGTTTTTCTTTTTCTTGGTAGTTTGAGTTAGTGGTGTTTTACCTTGTGTGGAGTACATGTTGCTGCGGTCAGCCAAGTTCAAACAGTTTATTAGCCACTCTACTCTTTAATTCTATCCAAGCGATTTTTTTCCTCTTGTTCTACTGTAAAATTGGTTTTTCAAAGTCTCACTGTACTATATGTGTCAGTCTAGCCCTTTGAACAATATGATAATATTAATTTTGTTGTTTGTAACGTTTACAGGTAATAAATTTTATTGCTCTTAATGTAGATACTGTAAAGCCTGTTTTTCATATGTCAGGAAAATCCCAGACGGTTTGGGATTTTACTGTTTCCCAACCGTCCCAGATTTTGCCGACTAATGAAAACTTGAAATCGTACATATCCGCAATCATCTGGAATGGTCGGGGACTAATCTGGAGAATTGGGAGCATTTCTATTTTCCCCACGGATCCCAGATTTCTGTGGTGGTCAGTGATTGTTCCTGTCAAGTGAAAACTAAAATTTGTATCGTCAGGGATGTCAGCGGCGGATTTCACCCATTACTAATCCTCTAAATTGCTGGGCTCCATTCCCCCTATCACAGATAAACATGGTGTCTCTGAGACAGACTTCTGGCGATTATCCGATATAGCGGCAAAATCTGGGACATTCGGCAAAAAGTTAATAAATCCCCGATCGCCTAGGATTTTCCAGACATATGAAAACTAGGCTTGAAGGAAAAAACCATGTAAATGTAAAACTATGATCTTCAACTTTCTTTCAGATTGTGGTGTTATAGAAGATCTTATTTGTGGCCTTGTAGATGTCATTATTAATGTACCCATCAGGTATGAATAAACTTATTAATTATGCCCAATGCAATGGTTAATTGATGAATAAATTATTTTTATTGCTTTGTGTAGAATGTAAGTTTCTATGGTTTGAAACCAATTCAGGAATGTCAATGGAAATCATTAATTTTCATGAATAATACTGGCCTGTCAGCATGATTACTTTATTTTAAGGACAACAGAAAAAAACCATGTAAAAAAGGATGTTTAAATGTCAGTTATGGATGGTGAATTTTCAGTTGAAGAGTTCTGATGGTGCTATATTTTTTTTCCACAGTGAAGTTACATATCCTATTCATGTTGAAGCAATCAACACTTTATTAGTTATGTTGTCAGTTCAAATGTTTGACCCCAATGCATCTGAAAGCAGTATCTTCTTTCAAGTTGTTATGAAAGGAAAATGGTAAGAAAGTAGGTGTGCTTTGTTAAAGTTTTCATGTATGTACAGTCTACCCGGATTTTTTAATACGTTACTGCCAAAAGGATCTTTTGCATCCAACATTTTTTTTCACAGGAAGCCATTATAAAGTAGCCATTGTAAAAACTAAGGGTGCAACCGTTGCTTTTTTCTCTTCTCATCCTTTCTCTCTCCTTGCTTTTTCTTTTTCTCCTTTGCTTTTCTTTTGTCACTGTGCTTTTGGAACTTGGTCAACCAAAACCTCTCAGTCTCCTGCAGCCTACTATTTACTTTGACTGATTACTGAACATTCTGAAATGTGTTTTCAGTCATTCAAATGCAGATGATCTTGTGAAAGTTCTGCTGAAGAATTTTATCATAAAAGAGAAAACTCCACAGCAGCTCATAAGAGTAACTAATGGAGGGTGGTTCTGTAAGTATTTTTTATAAGTCTAGCTTAAATTTAAGTTTTTAAGGTACATGTATGTGTGTATGTATGTATTCATTTAGTTGTACTCTGGAAAGTCAATCCTGCCTACCCTCTTGAGGATTAAAAATAAACTGGAGATTTTTAAAAACACAATGCGGCTTCATTATTTTAGTCTACACGTGATTATAATACATGTAGACCTTTTTAGCTTGTATGTTTTGTTGCTGCATGCTTGTACTTTTATACATGTATGTGGTCCAGTGATGATTTTTTTTATCACTTTTAGCTGGTGTTTGGTCTTGGTTTGGTTCTCAAAGTTCTGATGAAGATGATTCATCCTTACTGGCAAACCAAAGCCTTCTTTTACTTCTTGTACTGGTTAATCATTGTACACAGGGCAAGAAGAAGCAGAACCCCTACAGACATGCACTGTTTGCCTTCAAAAATAGGAAAGTCAAAGGTATGGCGTTTTTTTCATCTATTTAAGCTTAATTTCACTGACCTAAATGCTGTTCTCAATGGTTGGCCTTTATTGCCGTGATTAACCAGGTACTGAACAACCCACCGCATGTCTGGTTTGTCCCCAGTACCAGGATCTTCCAAGCGAAAGCAGTTTACATGGTGTTAGGATCTTCCTGCCTCTCAGCTATGAAGATTCTAGCTTTAGGGACAAGTACAACTTTTTGCATGTAAACTGAATACAGAAAAAATAATATGGCGCTAGGATGATGCACCTTCTGGGATCTTCCCAGTGCTAGAATATTCCTCTCTTCATGTAAAGAGCCCCTCACGTTTGTGTTGTACTGTACAAGACCGTTTGATGCTGAGATCTTTTTTAGACCATTGGGTCTGTTTATTTTACTTGTTTTTGTGGTAGAAAGTGCAGCAGCTGAAGATAGTGAAGAAGATCAGGAAGGTACTCCATCGTTTACCCTGAACACTGGAATGCTCTTCACTGCTGTCTGTAGGTCAGTATAATAATGATAATAAAGTAATCTAAGTACCGGTATGTGATATGGAAAAATAGTACCTAAGAGTTTGCCCCATGTATTAAAGGGAATCCTGATTACGGAATCTGGGAAATTTTTGCTTGTGGAATCCAGAATACAGCTCAAGGAATCCGGAATCCCACTAACGATTGGAATCCAGTTCCAATGATAAAGACAGGAATCCGGTACCTGGAATCTGGAATCCAAGGCTGTCTTGGATTTCCTTACACAGGGCGAAAGAGTTATATCATTGATGAGAAGAGGCCCAAGCCACAGCTGCTGTGTTAGAGTACCCAATAATACAGTGTATTGTACTATGTATTACAACTTCATACCATTCTAGTCGTTTCATCTTGTACATGCATACGTTCAAGGCAGGGTGCTTTTTGTGCACTGAATAGATTGTTATTACTTTTAAAACAGAAATTGTCTCCTTTATGTGATTGCAGAGACTTACACAAAGATCAAACAACGCTTTTACTGTACTTATTACTGCATCGGAATCCCAATGTGGCAACTTTTATCCTTTCAAGGACAGATATTGATAATTTGGTGAGTGTTTTTTTTTTTAATTGTTTCTCTAACCAGACCCTCTTGACTGACAAACCTGTTTGTATGATTTGAAAAAATCCTCATTAGTGTTTGATATGTTCAGAATAATAATAGCTGGTTCCTTGTGGCAAGGATCAAGAGAAGGAATCAGGTATCTTGCAGGCGTGCAAGGGTTTACGGTCAATTGGCTCCAAGCCAGATCGTTCCATTTTATAGCCAGATCGTTCCACAGTGTCAGTGTAAAACTCGATGTGAAGCATGCTTTTTTTTGGCTTCTTAGTTTAAAGAACAAGGTATACACACGAGTGATGCTCTTGTTTTGCTCGTAGCTTTAAGACTCAGGAAACGTTCTGACTATATTGTGGAACGATCTGACTATTAGGGGGAACGATCTGGCCTGTCACGATCTTACCATGGAGCGAAGTGACCGGATGCCCTTGCAACCTAACTTTTGGCTTTAAGTAGGCTTGTAGTAGATGAGGTACATGCAACACGGTTTTAACCCTTGATATAGTTGTGGCCTGTATTGTAGTTTGTCATTCTTTCATGTGCGCTCTGTCTTCCTGTAGGTGATGCCGATTTTGAAGCTTCTTTACAACCCAGATAATCACAATGCTCACCATATTTATATGTCGCTGATTATTCTACTAATCTTGAGCCAGGATGAGAACTTCAACAAGTCTGTCCATGAGCTGGTATGGATACAAAAAAAAAATGCCATATTCACCTTACTTATCAATCGCCCCATATAAGGGAATCCAAGACAGTCCTGGATTCTTGATTCCAAGCCCTGGATTCCAGATTCCAGGTACTTGATTCCAGGTTCTTTGTCAGTGAAACTTGGATTCCGAATTCAATCGTTGGTGGGATTCCGGATTTCTTGAGATGTATTCCGGGTTCCAACGTCCGGGATTCCAGATTCCACGAACAAAAATTTCCCGGATCCTGGGATACGGATTCCTCTGGGCGAGATCTACTACAAACTGGGGAGAGAGAGAGAGCGTGTGAGGTCCACATGCGTATTCGCTACTTTAAAAACCAGAAGGAAACTGGGCCAAGTTAAATTTCGCAAGGAGGTCTGGGAGTGTTAGTAGGGAGAGGGAAAAAATTGGCCAATAAGTGACCGGCGTGTTCCCAGTAACCATCCCAGAAACAATTGCGGGACGCATCCGGCTCCAGTTCCCTTCAGGGTGTGTTTTTGAAGTAAAAGAAGCCCGCTGTTTTGTTGTATAACTATTTGTTTTCTTTTAGTATGGTAAATCCTTTATTTTTCAGACGATTGCCTCAGTCCCATGGTACACCGAGCGAGCCATAACAAATATCACTCTGGGAGGACTGTTGGTGTTGGTTGTACTGAGAACAATCCAATACAATATGACTAAAATGAGGGTGAGTGGTGGTTTCCACTTTAGATTAGCAGATTCATTTGTACGGTGGCATCACTGGTAGTTTCGCTACAACGTCATTTCGCTACAACGTCATTTCGCTACAAGTCGTTTCGCGTCAGAGTCTAGTGATTGGAATGGTGGTGATTTCCTTAAGGTTCAGGACAAGCATAGCATCAATTTGGGAAGAGGAGTGCTGATAAAATACACCTGGCATAACATTATCGCTCGAGATTCAACATAGTTCGGTAAATTAAAGTAATTTTAAGTCCTTGAGTGGACTTCATTGTGGTTTTAAAACCTGCCTTGTCTAAATCTATGTGATTCAGTGGAGTAGATTCTTGCAAGACCGAAAGGTAGATAATTACTAACTAATTACAGCTGTTTTCCAGTTTTTCACTTAATAATATTTCTATTTCCTTAGGACAAATACTTACACACCAACTGCCTGGCCACCTTAGCTAACATGTCGTCGCAATTCCATGCTCTTCATCCGTATGTCACACAGAGGATAGTAAGGTAAACTAACATGTTTCTATTACTACTTAGAGTTAAGTTGAAGTTGCATTCAAATTCTCGTGTATATTTTTCAGTTTGTACGCGCTGCTTTCAAAGAAGCACGCTAAAGTGATGGAGTACATAAAACAAGATGAAAAAAACTCTCAACAAAATGGAGAAGGAGCGCAGCATAGTGATCATGTAAGTCAGCAGTTAATCTTTAACTTCACCTCTCTTGGTGTTGGAGGGGAACTAGATGGAAAAGAATCAAAGTATTAACTCTTTGAACTGTGTCACTTTCAGCTGTCAGATTTGGCGATTTTGGAAGAAGTGATCCGAATGGTACTAGAGATAATCAACTCGTGCGTCACAAATACTCTCCATCACAATCCCAACCTGGTTTACACGCTATTACACAGAAGAGAACTGTTCGCTCAGTTTAGAACGCATCCGACGTTCCACGACATAATACAAAATATCGATACGGTGAGTCCAAAGACGATAAAATCTGAATCTTTCGATACCAATTCAGTTCAACAATTCCCTAAACCCGCTTTTGGGAAGGGCGTAGCTCGAACGTTTTGGGGGAGGTGTGATGCCCATTTTCTTTATCCAGACTTATTTACAAACTGCCCGTTAAGTGAAGAGAAAAGTGATTGAATTTCATAGCCGAACAACTAAACAGCTACTACGGCTTGCCCTGCTTGTACTACGGCTTGCGCTGCCAGCTCTCCATTTCAGGGATTTCGCGAAAAGTCTCGCGCGAGAGCCACGCGAAGGGAGACGTGATCGCGTGGGGTAAGGACTCGCGCGTTCTCCCGCGGGTAACCATTAGTTCACTGTAGATTACTGAACTCTACTTTGTTATCCTGTCAATGCGCATTTCTCATCTCTGCCAACTTTCGGAAAATTTTGCCAGGGCAAGTTTTGGCCAATTTACTGACTTGCATTTTACTGGTGGCGAGTAACGTCATTATTTCAGACTATTCTCACTTTGACAGCGAAGACCAAAGTGCTTATACTTTGGTCAATTACCAAAAAGGCAACAAGGCGATAAACTAAGCACATCTCAAATCCAAGAGAGAATAATCTGTTCTCTGTTGTCAAAGCAAACAGATGGAGCCTGAATGAAGCGCGGAAAAACGCACAGATCAAACAATACAGGAAGCCAACCGGAACTACAGCCTGTGTAGTCGGTGTAAGGAGTAGGAAAACCTGCGCCAACGCGCTCGCATTAAGTTCAGTATCGCTCCTTTTGGCAGGCTCTGTGTTTCTGTAGCAATGCAAAACTAATCTAATGGCGAAATTGGGTTTACTGCACATTGGCAAACCACGCCAGGGCAAGAACTAACTTCTACCGCTGTAAAGATGATAGCAAAGATGGAAACGTTTCAAGGGTAGAAGATGCGCGTGTAATTTTCTTGGCTGCTCAAAAGACCGGCTAAGTTCCTACGACAGGATAGCGGATGCAAAACAGTTTTATACGTGAATGAATCTTTTAATCTGTTATTATTAAGCATGTTTTCTTTCGTTATAGGTGTTGGCATTTTTCAGCGCTCGTCTGGAGCAGCATCCTGATCAGACTTTGTCTGTGGGTGTAGTTTTAGACGTTATTAAACAGGGAACGCTTCAGTGGCCAAGAGACAGATTAAAGGTAAACTTCCTTGCCTAACATCACGCACACGTTTCTATCAAGAGCAGCTTACTTTTATTTTCATTCTTAAGGCCCTGAGTACTTCCTTTTATTTACGAATGTTTTGAACTGGATCCCACAGAGAATTAAATAATTTTAAATTTTAGCGAGAAAGAGATACCTTAAACCTGTGCGTAGATAATAGTTTATTGCCGGCGATGTTTTCAGTTTAGACTAGGTCTCCCCGCCGACGATGTTTCTCTCGACGCACTTACAAAAGTGTGCGCGGGTCCTTTCTAATGTGAAAAAGTCAGTTCAAAGGAAGGGGAAACTTAAGCCCAGTGCCCGGAGATTTCATAGTAGCAGTTTTTATCTACGACACAAGACCTCTTTCCGCAGATGGCCTACGCCGCGCACGACCGAAAACATTCACGGGTGCTTTCCCTGCACTGTTATAGCCTTTTTATGAAAATAAAAGTTGGCCAATATTGTCATTCGCCTTAATTGATGAAAATTATCCCCTAGACTTTCAAAGAGTGGCAAAAAATAGGTGGCACTACCCTCTTTCAAGGCGTACTCACAAGTAGATATTTCTTTTGGCAAAATAGCGGATAACAAAAACCACTATATCGGGACGTTTCTTTTTTTGTCGTTAGCTCACAGATAAAAACTATACGACGGCAGCAAACGGGTTCCGTGCGAAACGTGATCGAAAATAGTTTTTGAATTTTTTTTTTGTGATTTGAGACCATTTGAATTAAGATCCATGATCTTTGAAGACGTACCTGCGTACACATGAAAACCATTTCTTTTTTTAACTTTTCTGTCCTACGCAAAAAGAAAATTTGTTTGTTGTGTGTGGCTGCTTACCAATGGCGCTTTTTTCTCTACGTCGCTAGAATTTTGTTGGCCACATTTTCGTGACCGACAAATTTCGCTGGTTGAAACGGGTGCTTTTCCCGACTTTAGGAAAAAGATTTGCCGTCTAGTCACTCAATTTGAGCGTTTTCAAAGAAACAGATTGGGACCGCCCATCGCGGAAAAACTGTTTAAAAGAAAAACAAAACAAAACAAGTAAAGTTGTTTTTGCCCGTGTAAGAGGATTGGCCGAAACTGGTCCAAGGTTAACGACCGGTACATACGCTAAAATGTCCTTCGCTTTGTACTCACGAAGAGGTCATACATACAAAGAGATAATTCCGGCAATTCTTGCAAGAAGATCGTTAATAGTTGGTAATGAATATTTTCACTTAACTCTCCTGCTTTGGGGATTTATGTATGTCTCGTTCAAAACAAGGCGTGGTGCTGACTTTATCTACGGAGAAGAGCCATTGTGCCACGTGTGCCGTCTGCAGCAACACGCTGCTTTTAGCAGTGCCACTTAGTAAGGAGTGGCAACCGGATTATTAAAAATAAAAAGATCTGGTTTACTAAGACAAACTTACCTGTCGATCGCGTAGTTTAATTTTTGCGTAATGTTTTCGATTCCACCGTTACGTATTAAATCACTTGTCTCTTAAAAACAGGTCACTTTACAATTTATCAAGGCGCTCTGGCGCAAATTTATTTTTACTTTTTATTTTATTTTTTGCTTTGAGATGTCGCCTGTGAACAGGCATATCTCACAGCAAGAATAGCCAAGTCGTACTGCTTGTCAAATCCCTGCATTTTTCTCAATGCGGGAATTGATAATTAACTGTCATGTGAAATTTAAGATACAAGTCTACATGTGTTTTCTCCTTTTTATCTTCGTAGAAATTTCCTGAATTAAAATTCAAATACGTGGAGGAAGAACAGCCAGAAGAGTTTTTTATTCCGTATGTTTGGTCTTTGGTTTACAAATCATCCACACTGTACTGGAACCCAGATCACATTCAGCTCTTTCGCCCTGACACAGAGGAGTCTGTATCCTAGAAAGCTATCATCCAATGCTATCACTAATAATAAATGGCATCCACAAATGGGACTCGTCAGGTTTACACTTAGTAACAACAATAAACCGGGGCGATGGCAGGACACGCGTTATGTAGGTTTGAGGTGAAGCCTTTTAGCCATGAAAGCTCTGAAAAAAAGAGAATTTATCTGGACTGTCTCAGACAATACAAACTACAATTTTTTATGACTGTTGCATATTTAAAAGATTTGAGCTGATGACAATGCGACTAAAGAAAAGCCTGGAAACATCCTGGAATGTTGATGGCAAACAGCTCAGAGAACTAAAAAGTCAATGAACAACAAAATTTTATCGCTTTTTCGCGAAAGAAAATTTCCATTTTTTTTTTGTATAGACATGGGGGAGCAATTAACATGCAAAGTATTGCTGCTGAAGCGCAAAATGTAAAGATGGAACTAAGTGTGATTCGAGAAGTATTTCGGGTATCCAGTCTTTGCAGTCGCACTGTAAATCTGACTTGTTTTGAGGTTGCTCGAAACAACAGCCCCATGGCATGGCTCTACAATTCTTAGAGCTGATACTAAAGAACGGGCCATTTAAAAAATTGGTTCATGTGTCGGAAGGGGGACGGGGAAGGGGGGACGGAGGGGAGAATTTTCGAGGTGCATGAATTTTTCTGGTTCATTTCTCATTACTCTCAATAATTTTTCTGGTGTTCGATCCCTGTCGTGGGCGGCAGAGCGAGGGCACCATAGCTGGTTTGTGTAACGATTCTGACTGCTCTGAGGGCTCCAAAGGAATGACTAACACCTTGAATGTTGCCACGAAAAAATTTCCCTGGCTGCTCTAATGACAGACCTATAGAATACTGAAGCATGTTTTAATATTGCGCACAGTTCTTTTTACCCAAGATGCCTTCTCCAGTTCTCCTAAGGCCCTCCGTAAGGCGAGAGAGTTTGCTCGCAAGCAAATACAGTTCCTGCTTCTATTATACGGACACTTTTGTGGTCTATCACTATGGCGTCTATGACCAATAAGTTCAGCTAACGTAATTTAAGTTTACATTGGTTTCTGATGATTTTGCAACAAGCACTCGGTTTACAAAGTAGTCTCGAAGCGTCGTAATGTAAATGTAGCCTCTGCTCAAGCGTTTCCCGCGTTTCTCGACGGTCACGTGCAGTTTACTCAAGTTCTGATCGGTTCAGTTGATTGTTTTGAGACTGTTAGGAATAACTACTTCGCTTTTGGTTCTCCGAGAGTTGCCACCGACCAGAGATAGATGGACGCAACGGGAAGAATGTACTCGCTTAGTAATGAACCGTAAAAAGCGTCGTTGCACTTAACAGCAAGTTAATCACGAAACGAGACAGGGAAGTGTCTATACCGCCAGATTAACATTAAGATTTTAAACGGTTTACACAGAACTGACGGGATAAGATTGATTTCGTCCACGTATTAGCCGCCCGTTTGATTACTTAAAGCCGCTCTGTTTATTTAGCTTGGTAAACACTTGCTAGTGTGGGAAAATTAATGGGCCAGATATTTATTTGGAGTTTAGCCAGTGTTCAACAAAACCGCGGGTTCTAATCCATTTTCAGTTTGCCCAACGCTTATATTAAACACCGTTTATCATAAACAATTTCATGGAAGCATTAAGGGTAGACTGGACAAACATTTATATTCTTAAGAAGAGAAGCCCTACGATTCCTCTAACCGCTGCCTAAGTTAGCCTTAATTTAAATAACCGACCCAATATGTTTCTCCTTATAAGAACAACTCGAAATATACGTGGAAGTCGACAAAGACTAAATTTGCGATGCTTTATACAATCCTAGTTGGGAAACCTTTTTTTTGTCTTTAAATCCGTTCTTCCGCTTCCTTGACGAGGAAAACTGAACCGGACAATCGTGAAACAGCCCCTTCAAGCTTCAACCATGATCAGCATGAATCTTCTCCAACCTGTTCATCATACATTTCTTAAGATACTGAAAACGAGAGTTTGTGTAATAATCACGCCGGGACCCTTTTCAGCTGTTTATCATTCCTTTTTTCTCTAGACCTTGAATGTTTGAATGTTGATCCTTCTTTCTTGGGTGTTTCGTGTTATATGAGGTCTTCGACTTGTTGCAATAGTCAGCCGAGGAGCCTCGAATAATTCTAAGCGAAAGTTTTCACTTAAATAACCGGAATTTTTAGAGTTTAAATTTGGAGTCCAAAGGTAAAAATTCCTGTTATTTAATTGCTCCATACATTAGTGGTAAAAACACTGAATATGGTGCGGAGTGAAGGGGTCAAATTTAGGTTAAACAAGAATTACATATATTGTCAATCGATAAAAATGTTTCTAATTTGCGACTCAGCACGGGCTGTTGGGTCTTTTATATAATGTAAAGGGTTTAAGAATAAATTTTGCACATTTAATATACAAATACTGAAAGTACAAATATCAGTGTTAGTTATTTAACATTGAATGCGTGTAGCAAAATATTTTAGTCCATGAATAAATATACTTTAAAGTTGTCAGCGGATATTTTAATTATTATACACTTTGCACGCAAGGATGCGTGCAGTTTGCGTTTTGCAGCGAGGGAGAGTGTCAAGGCCATGAATGTGCGTGGCTGTAGAAATGAGAACATTTGCGTGCTAATGTATTTTGTTTCTATAAATACCTGCAGTGATATGAATAAAAATATGAAAGTCGTCAATTTTGGCCTGGTTTTTAGGGGAAGACAATGAAAACGTAAACCATTCTTTTTCTGGCCTTTTGTTGACGCTAAAGCGATCAAAAATGGAGGTTTCTTAAAATGCTCTCCAAAGTAGAGAAACGTTGTTAAAAAGAGTTCCATCGTTGTAGCCCGGAGGTACTCAATATAAGTACAAAAAAAAGTACCCCTTCCTTTTACTTTCTTTGACAAATGGTACACCTTTCACATACGTAGTTTAGAACTCTGCATCCCCTTTAACTGCTCTCTAAGTAGATAAATCAGTCACAAAACCAGAACGTTTTCTAAACTTCAGTTAAGTCATAAACTTATCTGTTAGCCCTTTTGAGCCTTTCTTACAGAGAAAATGACAGATTTCCCTATCCTTGCATATAATTCAACAAGCGAAATCCCTTCCCTTTCATATACCTGAAGCCTGAAAACTAAAAAAAGGTACCCCTTTCGGGCGGAGCCTCCCCGTATAGCCCATAGGGAGTACCTGCTTCCCAGGGCGTTGAGATGGGGACGGGAACAAATTAATGGTTTGCAAAATGCATAGTCACAGCAACTATTTAAGCGTGATATGTTTAAAAAAAGCTTTACATTTTCGGGATTAGACTAAAGTGTAGGACATACGTCCAACAATAGCCAAGGCACAAACACGTATCACCAGATACGCGTTTTGGACGGTCGAAAACGCTAGAATGGACGTGGAGCTTTCGTTGCGTCTTTGGGAAATTTAAGAGCTAGGTAAAGACGTTGACGGCAACGAGAACGTCAAAATAGCCAATTAACACGAAAACGGAGGTTTCCGTTTACGCATTATAGTGAGACAGGCCTAGCATAATCAACTATGGGCAATGTTAAGGATTTGCAGCAACCGCTAATGCACCTCGACGGTAATGCGAAAGTCAAAAAAGCAGTAGTCTTCTTACGACACGCCCACAAGTATCTAGATATTTTTGAATCCGCAAATTTTTCTTTGCGGATTCAAAAATTTCCACGCCCACACGTAGCATCTTCAAATCGAATTTGCCCGTCCAGACGTATCCGGATTCACTCTCAGTTCGTCAGCTAATTTAGTGTAAAGTGATCAATAGTTTATGTTTCGCTGACAAAATTGTCCCCTTACTAACCGTTAGTAAGGGGACGATTTTTGACAAGTTCGCTCATTTAACTTCCGTCGTGCGTGGAAAGAAGCCTTAGAATGTCGAGCAGCCGTTTAGCATAATTGAAGTGTACAGTAATCATAGCTTGGTTGAACTGCACACACGTTTTAAGACTTGAAGCTGAAGTCGATCAAGTAGTAAAGAAGCGATAACTTTACGCTCTACGCCATCTTGAATATTCACGGTAAAGAACTGGGTTCGATCTTGTTACGTCACTGAAGCTTTCGTAATACGTACGCGATTCCGGATTTATAGCGGATTCAAAACTTTTCACTGTGCAGAGCAGATTCAAAAAGTTACGGATTCGATCGTATGCCGCCTTCACCGACTCAACACGTGCTTCGACTTCTTGTCGTACATTTCCAGGTGATTTCTCTGCCTTCTTAATTTTTCCGTTGTGGTTGCAATCGGACACTCAGAGTCGGCGGTCGCTGACGCTCTTATGTCATTTTCTTAGACTCTCTCGTCTTAAACAAATGTAAGCTTATACTCGTTTACAAACTTAAGCGGACTTTTGTGGACATAGCGCGTCTCCTGCTAATGTCGGCAGTAGCCGCTGCGAAAGGGGTCATGGGAATTTTTGATATTATAGTGTCGCAGTGAGAACGAACATAGGAGAGCGGCGACCACAGCCTTAGTTTAACGTTTGTCCAACTTGATTGGAATGGCAAGGCGATCATCTTGTTAATCTCTTAGGACATCGCTGCATCAATAGCGATCATTTATCCTATAGATAAGGCTGGATAAATCGCTATCCTTTAAATAACTCAATGCTAACAAAACCAATTGCGGTTTCTTAAAACCGGTTTTTTCCAGGGCTTTAATTTCCTGTTGACCGATTTTATCTAGTGGAAATAGGACAATCTTCCTGACGGATAAATCCACTATCCTATCGTCAATTCGTCTGCCGTGCTATCACAAAACAATCATGTCATTGTGCCATTCTATAATCACACAAGATTATTGTTATACAGCTAAGTGTCCTGGCCTGGCTTAAGGTTTTAATTAGAAAAATTTCGGGTCGTGGCTATCGGACCTGAAAAATGTCGAAGGTTGTAGTAAAATGAAACGAACCTAAACAAACAGGAAATAAGACAGAGAACTGGAGCTCTTTGGGCTCCTGCAGCATTATTAACTGATTTACTGAAACTATAGTCAATGAAATAACAACGTGTGCAACAGTATTTATAAAAGGATAAACCAGTTTTTCACGCATTTTTAGCTCGTTCAGACGATCTTAATTTCAAATCTTCCGGAAGTAATATGCCCCTGGATACCTTGTTTGCTCACGTTCTTTCATTCGATTTCTTGAAAAAAATTTACGAACTTGCTTTTCCATTCATTCATTCATTTATAATCTCACTGCACTAATAAGAAAAGCAAATGCAACAGGGAATACTGAAGGGGATCGATGTGGGAGAACTTATCGGTTATAGTGGATTTGGAAAAGTTGTGCGCACGTACCTCTGGGCAAATCCTGGCTATGCCAAAAGAATTTCAGTAGAAAAATAAACCTCTCATTCAATATTTAGCACGCGCGTACAACTGCGAAAACTCGACATGCAGGTATAAACTTCAGCCGCGGATTTGTGAACCCAGTTAAGAAGCAATCATAACCGACAGTAGGCGTTTCATTTCCCTCAAATACAGTTTGGAGTCTTTGGATTTGCCATTT